CCTTGGACAAATCGTGGCAAGCCTCAGGGTTTCCACCCGTAATCGGGGGGAACGACAGCACCCACCTCACTGGTGAGGCTGGGAAGGCACTAATTAGCAGCACAGTGTTCAGCATAGAACCCACGAAGGGTTGACTGTTTCTTTAGTTCAAGACCACACAGCCAGGGCCAAGGCAGGCTTCCCCCCCCCCCCAGCCCCCTCCCGCCAGTCCTCTTCATTCTAAAGATCATGCTCTTACACGCTCTCTGCCTTTCTGGGCAAAATGAGTGATTTGACATTAACTGGGTAGCTGATATGGGCCAAAAGGCAGGATACAACTCTTGTGATCACATTATTTGGGCATCTCTGTCCCAACTTGAACTGTGAACCCAATCTTATCTATCTATCTATCTATCTATCTATCTATCTATCTATCTATCTATTTATCTATCTATCATCTATCTATCATCTATCTATCTATCTCTATATTTATATGTATATCCTATCTAATAAAAGACAAAAAGGGTAATTGACGGTACCTTTGCTATGCTTCCCATTGGCTAATCAGGGTGATATGCAAATTAACCACCAACAAAGATGGCAGTTAATTTGCATATGTAGGCTCCAAGCGGTGGAGTGAAGCCAAACATACCCGAAGCCGGCCGAGCAGCAAGGCCTCACGGCCCGGGATCAGCAGAGCTGGGAGGCCTCACCGCCCCGGGATCAGAGGAGCTGCGAGGCCTCACACCCCCAGATCAGCGGAGCCTCGAGGCCTCACAGCCCCGGGATCAATGGAGCTGCGAGGCCTCACCACCCCGGGATCTCTTCGTGCCACAGGCATCTAGTATTTACATAAATATAAATAAAATAATTCCTTGTGGCTATAATAATAAAAATGAATAATGAGCTAGTAAAGGACAGATAAAGGGAGGAGTAAATTAGAGCTCTTTCCTATGTTTTTGACGTTGGAGAGTAATTCTACACCTGAAGACAGGAGGATGACTTTAGTTTGGGACCTGCTGTGTCGGAGTTCCTGGAGATCATACAAGTAGAGGAAACTACCAATGGGAAAGACCTCCCAAAGGCATCGTCAACAGGAACAGACTACAGTCGGGACAAGGCAGGAGTTTTTGAGCAAGGAGGCAAAACATCAGTACCACAGTGCAAAAATGTATGGCGATTACTCCAGATTCCTTAAACAACACAGATCAACACCGAAACCAAAGCAGCAGCAGAGGCAGGCCTTGGGGAGAATGAACTCACAGTTTATGTCAAGAAACAGAACGCAAAACAGGGCTGGGCCCACTTCACGAGACCCATGTGGCTGCTTGGAAGCAGAGCTGAAGTCATATTTGAAGGCCTCAGTGAGAGCAGTAGAGACAGATGGTAATGGCCTTCACTCTCAGCAGCCAGGCTCCTGCTCGCCTGGAGAGGACCAGATTCTATGTAACACAGAGAGCCCTTGGCCTGCCCTCAGGAAGGACATGCTCTTGGTTCCCCCTCTCCTTTTCCTGCAGCTGCCTAAGCCAAGGCTTCACCCTCCCACCCCAGCGCCAAGTCTTCAGTCACGTGTCATTTATATTTGCCCTCCATGTGACTTATCCGTGTGGGCAAAAGTAGGCTTACAGTTGTGAGTATGAGAAACACAGAGTTTATTCTTCTATTATTATTTAGTTATTAATGACTAGAGGCCCGGTGCACAAAATTTGTGCATGGATGGGGTCCCTAGGCCTGGCCAGCAAGCAGGACCCATCAGGTTCCCCGCCTCCCCACCTCCTCCTTCCCTCGCTCCCTCAGCACCCC